GCCAAGCGACGAAAACCCAACCCCGATGGCAAACACCGGGGGGGGAGAACTGGGGGGGGGGGCAGAACTATCTTGGGTTTGGGGTGCAATGAATGGTCCGTCGACACAAGGAAAACAACAGCCATGCGGTGTGTATTTTGTTAACCATGGAACACCCGGATCTCAAGCTAATGCCTCTGTACTTGGTAGGAGCCAACCTTATCGGCCGCCTTTTGGTTTGGGCGGGGGCAGGGGGGGCGTACTCTTATGTTTTGCATGCCTTAGCGGTTAGACCATTGACCACGCGTCCTCGAGAGCACGGAGCATTGTTCCCACAGGACCGATCACCGATGGCCAATCGTTCCTTTCTACTTCGCCAAAGGTGGCTCAAAAATATCTTCCCTAGTTTGTCTATCCTAACGATATCCCTTCCCGCCTTTTCAACCCACCTCCCATGCCCCAGTACAGCTACCGTCCTTTCCGCTCTATTCCATGCCTCAAACATCTCCCTGTACGTCCCTTCTATTTTTCCCAGCTCAGTCATGTACACTTCCCTCTCCTTGTACAACGGAAATTCCGCGACTATATGAACACGGTCTTCGCATTCGAAGCCGCAGTCACATTTGAACTTGTCGTCTTCGTCGCCTCCCGTCCTATGTCTTCGACGTTCTCGAAGGCCTCTGTCCCCGGTCCTGAATTTGACCTTAAGCTTTGTTCCTGCATCCATTGGTCCATGTAGGTAGTCCTTGAACCCTACTCAGTCCTTCAACATTCCGTACACTAGACCCTCCTTATCCGTGGATTTTTCCCTTAGATTCTGTTCTTCTCTCTCGGCACAAGCAACAGATNGTCACATTTGAACTTGTCGTCTTCGTCGCCTCCCGTCCTATGTCTTCGACGTTCTCGAAGGCCTCTGTCCCCGGTCCTGAATTTGACCTTAAGCTTTGTTCCTGCATCCATTGGTCCATGTAGGTAGTCCTTGAACCCTACTCAGTCCTTCAACATTCCGTACACTAGACCCTCCTTATCCGTGGATTTTTCCCTTAGATTCTGTTCTTCTCTCTCGGCACAAGCAACAGATATCTTCTCCTTGAACCCCTGTAGACCCTCCGTTTCCAGCGTTTCATCTTTGTCGATGTCGAGCCCCTTCCATACGTCCTCTACAACCTTGACCCATTCCGTGGGTTGTCTACCCCTCTTTTTGTTTGCCCACTACGCCTCCCATACAATTCTCGGCAACCTCTCCTCTCCCATCCCGCACATTCGATACTGCCATGTCAGCTTCCTCGCGTCTCTTCCCGACCGTAGGGATTGGATCCCCAAGTATGCCGTGACGGGGGGGGGTGCCTTAAGTCTTGTGGATTTGTTAGAACAAATCTTGGAGACATGCACGCACACAGCAGTACATCGCGTACCCTCGCCGTGTAGTCCCCTTCATGTGCAACCCCCCGGCCTAGCCGCTTCGGGCAACCGACTTCTCCATGCGCAACATGTGCCATTTCCCGGCAAATCACAGCAGTCGTAGCGTCGCAGCCCTCTCCTCCCTGCGTGTGTTCTCTCAGCGCACTCGAGAACCTTTTGCGCACGACTTGGTCCTATCGCCATGCGCGAACTACTCTAAGAGAGGAGGTAAAAATTCCCAGCTTCCCTCTTTTTTCCTGATGCAATCGTCCGCGCGATTTTTCCTTGTTCACACACGTGTGCAGCCAGCCCTATGAAGCAAGACGCCGAAACACAGCTTTGGGCGACCTGCATGGTATCTATCATTCCTCTAATGTAGGGATGGTTTGATGTTCGTTCGCTGCTTTGTGGCGGTTATGCCTGGGTGCTGTTACAACCGGTTTTGCACACACAACGGGAGCGAGCAAGCAGTGGCATCAGTTTTTTGTATGCCCGAAAGACGGGTTGGCGATGTTGTTTGGACCGCGTGACCGCACGCACGGATGGGGTTTCATCAAGCCATCTTTTGGCGGAGGCAAAGTCGTGGGAACTAAATAGCGTCACGTGGCGCTTAGGCCGGCAAATCCGCTCAGTTGTTGTTTCACCTCTCCCCTAGCCGGGAATCCTGTACTCATACCGCGGAGTTTGCGGTTACCCGGGTCAGATCAAGTCTGGGTCACGGGTTATCTTTTCACGAGATGGTAGATAACTTGGTTGTTTTGGTTCCTTCCCCCAATCGATGACAGGTTCGAAGGGTTGCTGCTGCCGATGTTCGTGCACACCCTCATGTGCACGACTGGTAGCGGCGTCGTTGGCCCCCTCCTCATGAGGGACCCGCCGCTGTTCCTGAACAACGACCTGCTGGTGACGTGCATCATGGTCTTCTTCCTGGTCTCCGTCGTCTTCGACCCGTACGTGGTCAACTTCATCAAAACGGTATGGGTCGGCTTGGTCTTGTTAGTAGCACTAGGTCGTGTTTTGTTTTAATTAACCAATCGTGCCGAAATACCGATTTGGTTGCGGATCTGATTTTCGCGCACGTAGTGTTGGCACTGTGTGCTTTGTGGGTCGTTGCGGTCTTAGTTTGGTAACATGGAGTGCGCTACCTGGCTACCCCACTGGCCAATGAAAAGACGTCGACCTTTTTGCGGCAGCATCGAAAAAGCCCATCCGTTCCACTCTCACTCGCGTGTGTGTTTGTGGTGTATTTTTGCTTCGTCTTTTTTTGTTTTGTTTTCAGCCACACCTGTGGAAGGCCATGGCTCTGCTGTCGACCACGAGCCGCATGAACAAGATCTGCTTCATCGTCGACTACGCCCTCACCAAGTTCCCCCCCAGCCCGTACTACCCTATCGCTTTGTTCGGACCCATCATGGTACGTGTTTTCGGAACAGTGGATTATACTTATTGAGCAAAACAAAAAGTAATGAGAAAACGTCATCATTAGGCACAAGTTCAACTGTTGAAGGTGTACCTAATGTCGCCAACGCTAGTTTGAAGTTTTGAACAACAGCGCTCTTGACGGAGTGTCTAGGAGTGTCGACGTTCGGGCGTATTGGGGAAATCATTTCAGCATATCTTGTCTACTCGGGGGGTCT